GAATTTTCAAAACATCTGAAAGTATTCGTTGTTTTTCTTTCTTTGTAAAGAGAATAAAAAAGATTTAATCAATTTCAATATAATAAGCTCATACGAACGAGAAGAATTGATTTTGTCAATATAAATATCCTTAATTAGAGTTGATCACTGTGAAACAATTATATCGAATTCTATCAATCTATCCTGATAAGCATAGATTAAATCATTTCCTTTTCATAAGAGATTTATAATATTTTTTATTTATTTTCACGTCATACATCAACTATAAATTCTAATACGGAAGGTAGAAACAAAATGAAAAGAATTCGATTTATTCTCTTTCGTTTTCTATTCTATAGAATTTATTTAAATAAAAAAAAACTATGTTCTTGACACTTTGAAAGTGAATTGAAAAAACATCAGAAATCATATCGATGTCGAAATTTTATTATCATCATATTAGTTGAAACATGAAGAAATATAAGAGAAAAATAGAACATTGTTTTTACTATCAGTACGTACAGAAAGAAAACTTTCTCAAGGTTTCTATATGAAATTAAGATATCTCCGCCACTAATTTTGATATGTCCTAAGTACAATCTAAAAAAAAAATATTCATTTAAAAGTTTTATTTTGTCAACAAATCTTAGAGCATACATTTACTTAGAAAAATCGATTTTTTCCTAAATGAACAATGATTTATTTAATACAAAGAATAGATATAAAAATCTTTTTTTCTTATCGTAGCCAAACTTTTAAATCTTCATGTCAAGCAAGTAATGATAAAAAAATCAAAGTTCTAAATGTTTACAAATGATTTCATTATTGGACATATCTGACATCTTTCGATATTATTTTTCAATTGTTGTTTTTCTTATTAAGGTTTTCACTTGGAGATATTTTTTTTATATATAATAATGAACGTACTCAGTTATTGAACAATTTTTGTACGAGAAATAACATTATGTCATCACCATTTACGTCTTTGAATAAATATCGAAAATTACCTGTTTCAAAAAATCCAATTACACCATCAAATAATGCTCCTGATGATGAGAAGTATGATAGATTTTTTTTATTCTATTAATTCTTTACTATAGAGTATGTTTAGTACTGCACCAGTTTCTCAAACAGAAAGATTCAATGTTTATCGATATTCAAGTAAAACAAAATCGAAGTTTAAAACATAAATATAGATTTCTCTTTTTTTTTTTTTTTACAGATGAAGATGCTCAATTATTGAATGAAGTTACATCACGTATGGCTGCGGATAATATAAAAACAAACAGAACCATGAATGATTCACGAATTCGAGGTTAAATCAAATCTTGACAGAATTTTTTTTTTTGAATAAACATTCTTTATTTTTTACAGGTCCGACTGATTTGGATCTTCTTCAATTGACTATGAGTCGTATGCAAAAAGCTGAATCAGATGTTCGTTATCTGACTAGCGAACTAAAAGACAAAGTGAGAATAGACAATTTCAAAACAACAAAAAAAGAAAAAATTATTTGGTCTTTTTCTTGATTCTAGACACAACGTATCGCTGTTCTCGAAGAGAAAGTTCATCTTTATGAAAAAGCATTACGTATGTAACAAATAGAAAATCGATGAATAATCTTTCTGCATTAAACAGAACGACATATTAAAACTAGTCTTTGCTTCGAAATAGGATTATTTTATTAAATTTATCAATTGATAGTATATAACATATTATAGCTCGATCATAAAAGAGTCAGCGATCCAGAGGGAACGAAATTTCGAATCGCGCCTTCGAAGAAAAAAGACCTGGATAAAACACTGCGGCGATCAATCCCATACACACTCTAGTTCTTATTGAGCAAAAGCTTAATTAGTAGCTATGTATATGCCCTATGATTAGAAAAATAAAGATAAAATAATCGCCGATGTATTCAATTATATATTATTGAAATTATTTCCTATAGATAATCAACATAATGAATCATATAAAATAGAAACGCTTGAAAAAAAATGTATTCGTTTACAATCAATTATTGATCGTATGGAGGTCAGTAATATATAGACATAAAATTTTTGTTCAGATTTAAATCTATTTAATTTCAGTAGGATCTACTCATTGAACGTGGTCTTGAAGTTATTGGTGAACTAAATGAACCTGATAATGTAAATATATTAACTTTTGATGAAGCTGATCGTGTTGAACACCACCACCAACAACAACAGGAAGAACATTCATCAGTACCATCTACTTGGCGACCAGGTTTGTTTCATTTTTATAAATTAAATTTTCATATAAAAATTTGTTTCTTTATAGAAGAATCAATTCCAAAAATCTTTCCAATTGATTTTAATACTATTATTGAAAATATTCGTGAACTTAATGTATTAGCAGGTGAAAGTGAAGTTCATTTTGAATCACAAAATAATGATAATCAACGACATATTTCAACATTAAAACGTACTGAACAAATTAATTTAATACTCTATGCTAATGGTATTTTCTTATTTAATGGACCTTTTCGATCATTTTCTGGTAGAAATTTTTTTTTCACAACTTTTTTGTTTTTAAATAATTGATATTTATTCATAGAATCTTCTACTCAACTATTTATTCGTGATATACTTGATGGATATTTTCCATCTGAATTACAAAAACGTTTTCCTGATGGTGTACCTTTTAATGTATTGTTCTTATTCAAAACAAAAAAAAAGAAGGAGAATATATATTTTATATTTTTATAGGTATCTGATAAACGTGAGACTTATTTTACTGATGAACGTAAACAAAAAGCATTTCAAGGTGAAGGTTATGTTTTACATGATAGTCGTATAGTTCATAATAATCAAAATACTGTTAATCTACCACCAATTCCACAAGGTGCAAAAATAGAATCAAATAATCAACGTATATAGAAAATATTTATTAAATAATCTAAAAATAAAAATAAAAATACTTTTTTAGGACCAAAAATTCCTATGAATCAATTTCTTAATCGTCTTCCGAAGACTGTTATTAAGAATGGTCAAGTAATTGATATTCGTCAGGATATTGAACAACATTTAGTTGTAAGTAGAAATCAGAGTACAGTACATATTCATGTCATTATAAGAGAATATTAAATTTCAATTTTTATTTTTCAAACATACACCATATTGATTTCCTTCAGATTTGTTCTAGGCAAAAGAAAAAAGGAATTTTAAGAATGATCCAGATATTCAATATGTATTTGATATACTAAAATTTCTATTGGTTTATCAATCAATACATCTGGTGATGTGAAGAAGAGGCAAATATGAAGTAGTTTAATCTATTCCCAACTGATTCTATAGAAAAAGTAGTCGATCTAACTTGTACAGCAATAAGACAAAAATACTTTGAACAAACAAAATATAAATTTTCTCTGATAGATACACGAAGATGTTTTCTATATAGACCATCGAAAGTATTATAAGAAGATAAAATTAGTTTATATGCAGATAAAAAATAATGTGTAGTCGAATGTTTTTATATGACTGTTGAGTACACGTGTCAATCTTTCAAATGACATTTTATTAGATAATATCTTATAATAATAAATATGGGAATGTGAGAATAAATTTTTTTTTTTTATACAATCGATCAGCCAAATAACACTCTTATATCAATCTAATTCTATTTAATTATCATGTATTTGTTGTCCATTATATATTCGTCAAGTTTTTTAGAAAATTTTATCAATCATTTTAAGTTATTTTTTTCTCTCATTCTTTATTCAATCTAGTTTTTAGTTGTTTAATATTTGAAAATTGTTCTTCTTGTACTTTTTTCTTTAATATTCTTCATGACATTTTCAATGGATCATACATACATCAGTAAATTGACCTTCACCTACTTGAGGTAAAATTCAAGTATGAAATAAGTCATCTATAGGTGAAAATACAATCCTTATTCTTTGTTTTTATTCAGCAGGCGACTTTTTTATATATTTTTTTTCTATGTCAATCAGGTTATTTAGTGTATAATTTGACTAACTATGTAATTAGTAGGTCATGATAAGTGTCGAACAAACGAGCAAAATAAATAACGATTGATTTATAGTACACTATTATTGTATGTAAAACTGTTTAGTAATTTATTAAAAAAAATCACGTTGATTGATAGCCAAAAAAAATTTGTCTTCATGTTCTCTTGTTTATATTTTTATTATCATAAGGGAAGATATTATCTAATAATATATTATTTCAAAGATTGATATGAATACTAAAGGCTCATAAAAAGAACATTCGGTTAGGGTTTATTTTCTATCTATAGAGAAATTAATTTTATTACGCCTCAAGACTTATGAAATACTGTGTATGTTCAAAGATAATAAGTAAGATTATTTTATTTGCAAGCTTTTAATAGAATTCAGCTAGAAAGAAGATTTGTTCATCTACATAAATTTTTATTTCTTCGATAAGAGCTATTAATGTAAATTCGTTCAAATATAAAATTGAAATCTAATTTAAAATAATTTCATTTTTTATTTTTTTAAAAGGGTAAACAAGAACCAATATCACGATGTGAAAGGTATTATATTTTGTTTATATTTTTAAATCTATCATATTCTCTTTATTTAAGTGTGATGAGTGAATGTAAAACTGATGTTGATAATAATATTCCATTCAGTACACTTCGTATACGTTCTCATGATGGTCAACAAACGTATGTAATAAAAATGAAAACAACATGTACAATAAAAGATGTCAAACAAATTATTGCCAAGAAAAAGTAATTGATTATTTTCTTGTGTTTGAAAAAAAAAACCAAAAATGATAAAAATTATATATAAACATTTTCTTTTTTTTTTTTTTATTGTATTTCTTAGGAAACTCTTATTTGATTTTGATTTATTTGCCATGGGTACAAAATTATTTTTTACAGATGAAAATCAAACACTTGAACAATGCGGGTTAATACCAAATGCAACGTTAGGTATTAGAGAAATAAAACGTAATATTGTTAAAAAATAATTTTTTTTGATAATAAAAAAAAAATAAAAAAATAAAACAAAACTATTAATTTGTATTGTCTTTTTCTTCATCATCATCATCATTACCCTTTGCTCTTCTTAATGGATATCGATATTTTTTATATAATTTATCATTAAGTTCGTCTTGTTGTTTATATTGAAATAATTTAATTAATTCTGTTTGTTCTCTAGCATTTTTTGAATTTTCTTTCGAATTTTGTTCATGTTGATCATGATGTTGACTTACATCTTCCTTGTTCGATAATTTTTCAACATGAATTGTTTCAGAAATTTTCGGTTTTACACATGTACATAGATGACGAGGAGCTAAAGATCGTCCTAATGAAGGATATTCAGTAGATGTTTCACATAAATTTGGATTTTTTTTAAATGATAATATTTGTTTGTTCGTCATTGATTGTAATAATTTGAGAAGATAAAAGAGTAACTCACCGAGTTTATGTGCGCCTTATATTGTTGTTATTCTTTTTTTTCTTTAGCTCGTTTCGCTTGAATAGTTTTTTGTTTGACGTTAATATCGTCATGTAGGTAGGCATAGATATAAAAACACGTGCGTGGTATAAAGAATGCATGAATAATATGAGAAATATCTACAAGTAAGTTGTTCACATCTTATTCAAGTGTGAGTATAAACAGATGTGTTAAATGATATATATATATACATATATATATATTGCAATCATATCATTTTTTTTTAAATATCATCCATAGTAAATTATTATTTATCTAAATGTTTTCTGTAATGAAAAAAAAAAAAAATTTCGATATACGTATATGTTTTAATTGTATTGATAGTACGACAAGAATAATTATTATTTTCATATTGATATATAAATACAGTCAAGCTAACCTCTTCATCATATATTATAATTTTATTGTTATCGTTGTTTTCATCAAGATAAATTTTATCTTCTATTATAAAATTATATAGTAGAAAGAAATAATTAACATAGTCTTTGACTACTGTGAAATATTATCCTATAGAATTGAGTTGTTCTATGAGCAAGATGTATAGTTCATATATTGTTATTTTTCTTTTTTTCCAATGACATTTTATTGAGATGTCAGCAGATATCTGATGTTTGACAATAATACCATATGAGGCTATTTTTTAAATATCGAGGAGTGATGACAGTTAAGATTGACAACAACACTAGCAACTTATGAATAGCTCAGAAAAATGATAGATAAATATCACATGTTTCTTGCATGCAATAGGATCTTTAATATTGTCTTTAAAAAGGAAAAAGGAAAGGAAAGGAAGAAAAAAAAATCAGTGCTGATATTGTTGTTGTTTTTCTTCATTACAAAAACAACATAAAGAAAAAGAACAAAAATATTGCCAGCTAGTAATTTTTGGTCGGTGCAGAAAAACAGACGCAGTAGTTTTTTTTTTTATCAAGGGTCATAATGTTCTTCATATAATCTTTTTTTAGACTAATAATCAACGATACTGTTCTATACAATAAAATTTTCTTTCTCAGCTTTAATATGCCTACCCACAGCTTCTATTTCTTATCAATGCTGAAACTCATCTATTATTGGTGGTAAAAAAAAAAAAACTTTTCATCGGCTTGACAAATTCATCTTATAGGTTTAACCTTTACTTACATCATAATGAATAAATCATTTCCATATTGAAAAATTTGGAAGAAAAAAAAAAGCATCGTCGATTTAAATATCTGGCATTTGTTCTATCTGCCAGTTGTTTCACTTTCTATACAATTGTTACAGTTTTTTTTTCTTCTTATTTTTATCTACGCCTACTACATCTTTCTTCGACATACCCAAGTAATGAATCATTGATTTTATTTTAGATTTGTTTTGCGTGTTATCACATCTAATAGTTTGGCTTACTATTTCTTTGACTTGTATTACCATGGCTCAAACAAATAGTACTTCAAGCGTTGTGAATTCTACCGATCGTACCGATCATTCTACGAAACCATCTGATACACTTCGTCCTCATTATTATACAACATTTCAAAATTCTTGTTGTGATCCGAAATCAAATTCATCAACAGAAACACAAGCTAAAGATATTTTACCTATTCCACAAAAATGTAAAGACGAAGTTAAGTCACTATTGGAATTTCTCCATCAGGGTCTTATTGTAACTCTTACTGACATTGCAACATATACAAGTGTTATACCATATACATTTCTTGAAAAAAATGATATTTTTGATACTCAACGATATTTAATTGATCGAGGAATGTTCAGAACGATGAATGATGCTCATATAATCAATTGGATTCCTTCATTCAGAATGCTATGTCCAATTCGAACATCAGGTAAAGAAAAAATATTCAAATTTATTTGAATATATCTGGCTTGTTTTTTTTTCATAGGTAATGGTAATTGTCTTTTACATGCTGTGCTTATTGCTATGGTTGGTATACATGATTTTGATCTCTATTTGCGTGATCGACTTGTACAATTTATGGATGAAAATAAAGATATATTAAAAAATCATTGGAAAAAAGAACGACTTAAATCAGATAAAAACTATGGTATTATACGTTCAGAAGATTCGAAACTTGATAAGGTATGATTGAAAATATAAATTCATGTTAAACATGTTTGTTTAGGAATGGGATGAATTATGTAATCTTGTTCGTTATGAAAATTCTGCAGATGGACAAACAGCAAGTCATTTAGAATTTCTTGAAGCTGTACATATATTTTCTATTTCAAATATGCTTCGTCGACCAATTATTATTTTATCTGAAGATGTCATTCGAAATAAACAAGGTGAAGCTATTTCAGTTAATGATCTCTTTGGAATTTATTTACCTATTCTTTCAATACCACAAGAATGTATTACTGAACCTATTGTATTAGCTTACGATCGATCTCATTTTTGTGCATTACAAACTAGTAATCTTGATGTTGAAAAAACATTGGATAATCGTCTTCCACTTTATCTATCAATTGATCAAGCATCTAAAAATATTTCATTACCTATTCGATTTTTAGGTGATGATGAAAATATTGAACAATCGAATAATTTACTTCATGATTATTTACAAATTCAAAAAATAGAATATACCTTTGATCAAAATACTCCACCATTATCTATTTTAAGTGCGGCATTGGGTAGTAAACATTTACAAATGAAAGATGATTTCTTTTGTATATATCGGAAATATTTAAACTATTTCTTTGAAGTACAAAAGCCAAAAGCAATGGAAGAAGAACGAGAACGTGAAAGACAACGTCAACTAGATGATTATATTAATCGTTATGTTCATTATGATACTAAAGGTCAGTCAATAATTAAACAAGATTCACTTCCGTCTTCATCATATACACCGATGTCGGCACGCTCAAATACAACTTATAATGATATTCACTTGCGCAATCAAAATAATGATTATTATGATCAACGATACTCATACGATGGTACTTATACTAATGAACCATATATACCATCAAATGGTACTATTCATATTAAGAATCTTTCAAATCAACCTCAACCATCAGAAAGAACATCGAACTATCCAAAAGTAGCACAAACAGATCGAGATGTTGATTATAATAGTACGGGACGATTCACACACTCATATCCAAAAAATAATTTGAATAATATTAGCAATCTGAACAATAATGATAAACAGCTCAACACTGTTAATGTTAAGCAAGAAGAGGACGAATACAAGATTAATTCAGGTAATTTTGAGCCAAAATAGTTTGCATTATATAGTCACACTTAATTTTTCTTTTTGGTCATTGTTTCAAAGCTAGTTTATTGAATTTATTTGGAATAGTATAGCTTTGAGTAATTTATCTATTGCAAATCTTTAAGAAACAAAAATGAAGTTTTTCTTACATAATTGCGATCTTTTTCATTTTTCTTTGACTTCCTATCTCATAAAACTACGTAAAAAAAAAAGAAAAAGTGAAGTTATCTTATTTTAGTACTTACATGAAAATTAATTTTCTGTTACTATTCAATTGTTATTTTAGAAGGACAACAACAAAGAGTCATTGAAATTCCTGTTCAACATACAACACCTCGTGCATCATCGAATGATTCGACTTTATTCATTTCTGAAGACAGACGAGATCCAGTTGTCGAATGTGTTCTTTGTAATCGTTCTTTTCGCTACTTCAATTCTACATATATTTGTCCCAGCTGCGAGTCTACATTGCATCGTCCTACTTCGTATAATGACGTTCTTGATCCACCTTATATTCGGCCAAGATCAACAAATACACATTCAACAGGACATGATACTCGTTATGTTTCTAGTTTATCACCAGTACCGAAAGCAAGAGTTCGCCACATAATTGACTGTCCACGTTGTAAAAATCCAAATTTGAATTATAGATCGAGTGATTCAACGTTTTTCTGTTCTGCATGTAACTATCCTATAAGATCCGCATATTTACATTATTAATTGAGTTTATTTCAGACAAAAAATAAATCATAGTCTGATTGTCTTGATCTCGTTTTGTGATAATGATTTATGTCTATGTTTCTTTCTTCTGTATATATCTTGTGAAACTGTCAGGTTCAATGAATCCCGCGATAAACGAGAGAAATATGTGCGATTGTTTTTATTTTTCTTAAGTTTTTTAATCTGTACTTTTGTTTTTTGTCGGAGATGATGTTTTTCTCTTTTTTTTTTTATATTTCATTTCATAGACGACACAATAAAAATATCGACTAAAAGAAGTATCATGTTGAGATAAGTATTCTTTATGACGAAACATCTAATTTTTAACTGATAAATAAAATGTTTGAACAAGATCAATATTCAATGTTTTTGGATTTAGTATACTTGCTATTCGTATAAAAGGAACAAAAAAAATGATGTTCTACTTCAACTGGTAGGTTACATGGTCCTCTAATACTGCTATCAATATCAAGTTTTTTAAATTTAACTCTTTTGACTTTATAATTGAAATAAGACTCTAAAAAAATCTTGAAAAGTCATATTTACGCTATTAAAGTCTCTTGCCATAAAGTCTAGCTCAGTAACCTCTCGTGTTGAAATTCATATTTTTCAGAATAGGAGAATAAGAATGAAGTCTGTTTTGTACTAAGTACCGCAAATGTGAAACTCTTAATACCTATTCAATTTGTCCTTCCTTTGCCAAAAGTTTATGATCGATATCCAAGGTAGTAATTTAAGAGATAAATCTTTTTAATTTTATTTTTTGCTGCTCTTATAATAAACAAGTACTATCATCTGTTTTCAACAAAGTGTGGTAGCCACTAATCAATAATACATTTTGAACAAAATTGAGATATCCATTCGGCTGCTGTGTAAGAGTTGATAAGTCACCTTGATGAAGAACAAGACATCATAAAACAGCCACTACATAAGAAAAGCAATCAAAGATATGTTCATCAATCGAGCAGTTTCAATATCAGCATTAATGGTTCATTCAACTTATTTTTTTTTATATTATATATATGTTTTATAAAAATTACTGTTGGAATGACGAGATTGGAAAAAAACGTAAACAAGATCATGTACGCCTTTTTGGACCTGTACGATGAATTCTTTTCGATCGAAAAATAAATATGACAGAGTAAAATATTCATTCAAGTACGATTTAATCATGCGACTTTGATCACTCTCTATAGTCATCAAGAGAGATCAGACAAAGTTATGTATCGAAACTGATCGAATTTGATATTCTGTAGTTGTTTTTCTATTAAACTTGGAAACAAGCACATCATCCTATCCATATATATATATTCAATCGCGTTTAATATCGTGATGTTCGCGGGTGCGTGTGGGTGTGGATGAGTTAAGAGAACATCCACACCATTGATATGCATTTTTAAGTATCTTGAAACAGTTTCTTACCCATGTTGCCGTATATTTTCGTTTACTAAACAACTAATGAGAAATTAAAAGAACGGACACCGTAGTGAGCTCAATCCACGTGTCTTCTATAATTTAAAACCGATCCGAGTCATTTTGCATGTAAGGTGTGGGAGAAGTTCTGCACTGAAAAAGTGCTGTTTTTTTTGCCTTTAAATTTGAGATATCTCGGAACTGACACAGTGAAATGAGCTGAAACTTTGGATATTTATTCAGCTTCCTCCAATCGTTTTTTGTATACAATGCTTAGCATCCAATAGATTATCCCTGCAATTTTCCAGAACTTTTGGCCAATGGGCTAACATTTAAACTTATATAACTTTCTATAGAAGCTTCCAATTCATAATGCTATAATAGTATATGAAAGGTCTCTGTTAGATCTATCAAAGCACACCAC